ATTTTAAACCTTTAACCAAAGGCTTAATTTTTTAATAAATAGTCAAATTAAAGTCGAAACAACGAAAATCGGGAATGAGATTTTGATTTATTATATAAATTGTGAAAACGAAATGTATGTTTATATATGTTTTATCATACCATATAGTTTACGTGCTATATTTTGACAACTATATATAGATATTAATGTTTTAATTAACAAAGTTTACTTCATTATGTTTTCCTAGCTACTCTAAATTAATTGTTTGCTATATTATGTTAACTTGTTTCTTCATCCAGCTATACTTAGAAATTTGATTCCCTTTGCCCTCATAACACTTTTATTGGACAAAAAAATTGGCAAGATCAAGACTTATAACAATTAATATCACTATAAATTGGAATTTTTTAATTAGTTTAAGATATAATGGTTTAGATTATATTCCAAATAATAAGTAGCTTGCTGGCATATAGTGGCATGAAGTTATTCATTGGATGATATAAAAACCAAAAGAAAAAGGGAAATATGAAATGAAGCTATGGTATTTCTATTATTGTGACATGAAGTATTCAATAGAGTAATGATATTTCTATTACCGTTGAAAAATAGATAGAAGAAGCAAGCTAAGAAATAAATAAATATATATATAGGTGGTCTAATTGATATAAGAATGGAGTAAGACCCTAGTTGGTTTGTCTTCGAAAGTTTTCTCCATAAAAAGAAAGTGTTTAAATTCATAATTCGGATGAATTTAATCACCTTTATCTCCTGCAAATTAAATAGAAATAAAAAAATTATCCACGTACTATATTTAAAAAGAATATTATTTTATTCATTAGCAGTATACTTTCTATATCCTTTGATAGAGAAAAGCAAAGGCTGTTTCTATATGTTATCTCGTACGGTAAGAACCCTGTATCTAACAAGATAGAGTTAACAAGCATCTAATTTTTTAGAATTTCCAGTTTCATCAACCCCCTTTGCTATCTCATTGAGAATGGAACAAATAGGAACTAATTCAAGACAGCAAATTAACAAAAAATGTTGTCGAAATATGCAAGAAAACTTGGGATTTGGGTTTAAAATCCCAAAAATTGCAACCTTTGAATTACTATTTTCCACCATTAGAAGCCTGTCCTCATGAAGAGGAATGAACAAGGACAGAGCATTGAGCTCTTGGAGAATTAAAAGAATAGCCAGCCATCGTTCACATAGATGCTAGAACACCAATGAGATTCATAGTATTATACGAATGAGATGAACAACGACAACAAACCAGACAACACAAGAACAGCAACTACAAATTTCAAATAAAAAAACATTGAATACAGATTGCTACAATTCAGTCACAGTACCAAAATAAATGAAAACAACATCATAAAGATGACAGTTAGACAATTACATTGGCGCTGTGTTGCAACGAGTTAATGCCCAAATCACATGAAAGATGGACAATGGAGTGCCGACCTGCCAAGTGAATCCAAATAGAGTTTCATGTTTATTGTCCTAAGATAATAATACTTGGGAAATGTAATAGATAATTTAACAATAATAACAAAAACAATGAACAAAGTGACATAATTCATTATGGAAAGGGTAGACTCAAATTGAAAGAGAGATTTATGGTAGAAATTACCAACTTACCACAACTACTTGGGGCAACGATGATGCTTTCTGTGTTTGCCAACATTAGACATTCAGTTCAGCTCGTACATTATTTGGATGGAGAGTACATGGCGCACTTTATAAAAATCCTCTCCTTCCCTTCCATCTCTAACTTGAATCCTCTCTACCAATGATCTGTTCATCTCTAGTAAATACATTTCCTGAAGAGTAGTGATATACCTCAACCCTTCTGGAACCATCTCCAAGCGAGGAACATTAGTCAAACGTAAACTACGAAGACAAGGCATTGCCCCTTCTTCTATTTCCCACTCTGCTAAATTTGATTCATGGATATCAAGAGAATCAAGTTGAGGAAACCCATTGACAGAGCAATACATTTTAGTCCCCGTATATGAAGACCACCCTAAGCTAAGAATCCTCAGGTGAGGCAGCTTTTCTAGTACAGGCATTGGATCCTCATTAACACGCGAACTCCACAAAGTCAACTTGCAAATGTTTGTTGGAAGAAATTCCAGAGCATGATGGCTCGAGCTTGGGTCTTCCTGTATCTGCCCAAATAAGAATAGTTTGGAGAGGTGATGACATTGAGAAAGTTGCTCCAATTCTGGAAATCGAATTGATCCCTCTAACGCCATGTGCAATGAGCGAAGGCGGTGTGATCCAAAAGTAGGAGATTTTAGGATGGCCTCAACGTCTTCTGATCTCTCAAATTGTATTCCTAAACTCCGAATATTTGTCAACTTGAGCAATGCATTGTTTTCAGCCAAACTCTCAATCCTTATGTACTTCAAAGTTTCAATATTTTTTAAAGTATTTACTTGGCAACACCCTTTTATTTTATGCCAGCTCATCAGCCAGATATGCCAATGGGTTAGTACAAGATGCCTCAAGCGTTGCAACTTGGATAAGACATTAGGAATTTTCCCTAGACTGGACGCTTGGATAAATAAGGTGTGTAAATTCTTCAACTTGCCAATAGAA